TCGCTCAATTTTTTTTCTTAACTTTCATATTATAAGTTTTATACAAGTTTCACAGCTTCCTACGCAAAAAGAAATAAGTGATCAAAAAATTGAGTTATCACATGATTAGAAAGTGATCGAATAATATATACAAAAAACGTTCAGTGCACACATAGGACATGTCGGATAAAGTAGAGATATCAAACGAAAACGAGTTATTTACGTTAAGAAGCTAAAGTTGCAACGAATTATATACCTTCAAATAAATTTTTAGAATTGACATGATTTAGTGCTTGGAGCTCCTTCAATAATGTAAACCATCCACCCGCTAGGTATTGAAACTTCAGCGTTTTTTGATCAATGCCAGAATTCTGCAGAAATTTCACAGCTTCTTCATCTGAGATATCACCAACTTCAAAAGGAATCGCTGCACGTGACCAGGCAGAACGAGCTGTAAATAGTAGATTTAGTAAGGACTCCATATGTGGCAAAATCATAAAATTACTGTATAACATCCCCACATTTCATAATTTGCGGAACCAAGCCTTTACTTGCGCTAAATATAACGACAAGGGAGCCCCCTATTCGCACAGTCTTTCGAAGTATCTCAAGAAACTCTGGGTCATTTTTAACAATACGGTCTACTTGATCAAGAATCAAGACTATCGGGTGTTTGTAATACGCTGTGTTGAGGAGTTGCATGCTTAAAAGGTCCCAATTAGGGTATTCTGAGTGATCATCTTGTTCTATGTGCCAAGTAGAGCTTTTGTGAGAATAAATGTGAAAAAAAATTGGTATGAAGCACAAAAGAACTATATGATACCTTTTCTTAAGGACTGTGATGAATTAACCAAGTCGAATAACCTCGTAAGTGTCGTTCTCTACCACAATTCCCGCAAGTCGCTATGGAATGGCTATATCTGATTCCACCAATGTTCTAGAATCCGAGATTAATAAGCCAAGTCGAAGTTACAAGTCAATTCAGTCCGTCGAATTGAGTCTCGAATGGGATATTAAAGTTACAAGTCGAATTCGGAGAATACTTC